ATTTTTAGCCTTCTAGCTCTTCTGCCTTCCATAACAACAATTTTCTCTCCAAAACTTTCGCGGAACGATAATTTTCTCCCAGAAGCACATGAAGCCGAATTTGAATTTTGCGGGATAGTACGTGGGCAAAGGACATTACTCTAAAATTTCGACTTTCCAGCTTTCATGGTTCCCGAGATAATAGTCTCCCCGCTAAAACTTTCACGAGGTGGTGTATGGTACCCAGGAGCAGAGAAAGTGGGAAATTAAATTTGTGGGATCGTAAGTGGGTGAAGGACCTTCCCCTAAATTTTCAGCTTCCTAGCTCTTGTGGTCCCCGAATTGAAAGTTGCGAACAAAATGCATCGGACACACACACACGCACACACACACCCGCGTGCACACACACACACACAAACACACACAGACAACCCGTGACAATATGCGTTTTTTGCAGCTGTTGCACAGCACAAAACGCATAAAAATTGCCCAATTTTAAAATTTACATCTCCCTATGTGCATGAGAAATGGGCATATATTAAAGCTCAATTTGGATTTTCTGGATCGCTCATGTTCAGAAATGAGCCTTCTAAAATTTCAGCCTTCGGCTTTTCCAGTTCCCGAGTTAGTATATTCCTGCCAAAACTTTCACGTGCACAGTGGCGGAAAACATCGTCCCAAAATTTTAGCTTCCTAGCTTTTCTGATTGTCGAGTTGGCGCTTTTTTGCCAAAATCTTCACATCTGCATACGTGAGACGCATACGTAACTGAAAGTCGATATCCATTGGTGATGTGGTATCTCAATTTTCCAGAAGAGCACTGGTAAAACTTTAGCGCCTAAAAAACTACTTAGTTGCCGAGTGGAAATATCCGAAAAGACTCACACACACAGGTGCACACGTACACAGATGCGCCATGGATCGACACAATAAGCTGATTGTTGTGGCCCACACTGTACAAGTCAGCTGCGTTCTGAGCATTTTGTTTCAGACGATTACATCGACTGCGATCTCGTCGTCTGGCGATGTTGCAAAGTCAGCATCGTTTATTCAGTCGCAAAATGTCTATAACAATGAGTATGGACGCTTTCCATAATACTTCACTTCACATTGGTGATGTGGTGTCCCTCTATGCGGAAGATCGTGGACGGTCAAATGAGGAACGACCCGACGAACGCCTTTCGTCTAAAACTGGCTTCTTATCAACACTTGGGTATGCCATTTTGATATGCTTTATCTGAAAGAACTGACGAAAATTTTCCTGAAAATGTTTTAAACTTTGTTTCTTGGGTGCATATGGTGTTCAAAGTCTTCTAGTACAATTACAGCTTTTTATCCTTTCAGTACTAGCAAATAATTGCTTCAACGCACACTCAAAAAATGGGGAATTGCTCTCTTGCAATCGACCTTATCTGATCGAAAGCTTTGTTAAAAAAAGATTATCTGAACGAGAATAGAAAAAGGCAATTCGGGTCAACTGCAGCACTGTTGATCGAAAACACTAATACTTAGTGGTTGTTACGCTTTGAGCGGTTTTAGTAAGCAACTGCTAAAACTTGACTCTGTTCGGTTCGCCTGTTACTCTGCCTTCCCCACTAACTCTATTTCGCTCACCGACGCTGTTTGACAATTTGCCAGGGGCGCTGGGTAGCGATACCGTGTGTGCGGCGGCTGGAACGCGTGATTTAAGAGCGGGGGAGAGGAGGTGCTGGATGGGGGGTTGGAATGGTTGGGGGATGGTGGCGAGTGAGTGCCCAGATGCAGCTCCGGGGGCACGGATTGGCACAGTATAGAGAAGTTGAACAAGGGCGCTAGTGAGAAGTTCCAAACAGTTAATGGTGGCAGTGGTTGGGGTGGCGAGTGATGGGTGCCTAGATGTCGCTATGGAGAATGGTGGTCAGAGTGGTGGCTTGCCACTGTCGCTGCAGTCCGTTAATTTTTCTGTAAAATTAAATTCAGAATGTGACGGAGAAGTAAATATTTAATGGGAATTACGCATATAATGAATAACTGAACTGAACTATTAGTAGTACTCTGTGCTTGCTAAGAATGAGTGTACTTCGTACAGGAGTTTCCGTTTTGACTGTATAGTAAGTGTGCATCAGAATCTCTAGTAGCAGCTGCAATTTCATTTGGCGGCTGACTCAAATTTTACGTCTTCAAAATACCAGACTAGGAGAATAGCGCCCGTCTGGCGAGAAGGTGGCAACATACGGCAGTGGAACGTAGAAGTGTACGAATAAAAGTGTACGAAGAGACACTGGCTTTGGAAACGGCGTGTAAATATAATCATGGTTGTCTGAAACCAATCACTTTATCATCTGAGTAGCCTACGAAATCGTTAGTACTGAATGATTTCATTATACCTGACGAATAATGCGTAACCTTTAATTCAGCAAAGACATCAGAAACCACAGCACAGGAAAGTTCACAACCTTGTTTCGGGTCGTGGATGAAACTTTGAACTGAAGCCGAAATTTTACGTTTGTCGCTCGCCATTAAATATCGATCGTAGGCCAAAAATTAACGAAAAGATAGATAGGCGTTAATTCAATCGAAGATTTTAGCTTCTACATATTTTTTGATTTATTAGATTAGTCAGATTCAAGCTTGCATACACAAGTGCAATCTCTTCTTCATTCGTTCCTGTTATATCGGTAGTGCAAAAAGGAATAAAAGTACTGCTCAAGTGCTCTTGGGAGACAAAAAATTTTAAAAAAACGCTCTGTGCGAGCAGACGAGCCAAAAACTGAAGTGGACCTCATCTGAGAAAGCGATGTGATTTTGGAAAAGGCACGGAAACCGCATGTGCTATCCTTCTTTCTTTCCCTCTGCCGTTCTTGTGTCCATTTGCGGAAACCGATTATGTTGTCGAGTTTATGCATAAGCGCAACAACTTATGTGGAAGCGTGTCAGCTTTTTTCAGTCTTGTGGACGACAGATGCATTGTGGAAGTTGGTGATGGAACGCCTGATGCACCGCCGAAAAAATTCCGAGGTATCGCGACTTTTTTACACGTGGTCCGACATTAGGGATGCCACGAAACAAGCAGTGTTACTTTCCTCAGTTTTGGTCAAATTGGGTACACGATTAAAACTGGATTGGTTTGAAACATTTGAAAATTTTTCTACTTAGCGGCTCGTTACAATAGTTACAAGAATGTTCAAAATTTTCATTTCTCATCCCTGATTAAGTTCTGATTAAGTTTGGCAATCTTTTGAAGTTATGAAAAAAGATGAAAATATTCGGAACCCGCTCTGCTCGTTGTATTCAAATACTGTTCTTCCACACTAATAAATTTATCAAGATACGGTCAGATGCCTTCTTCTGAAGAAAAATTTATTAATGTCAAACAACGTTTTTCCACTCAGAATTGATCTCTGCACTGATAAGACGCGAAAAATTATCTGCTTATGTCGTTCAGAATTCCTCAAGTGTATTTTTTCTTTCTAACCCTTCAAAAATACTTTTCTGTTCAAAAAACACAGTCATTTCAAGGAGGGGAGTACAAGCTCTTTTCGAGAAATGCGTGTTACGTTTTGAAAAAGCAATATCAAAAATTTTTTATAAAAATACTGCCTTTAATTCACCCAAAGCTACATTTTCTGTGAAAGGCAGAAGCCTTGAAGAGTTAGCAAATGTCAACAGCAACCACTCAGTGGCAAAACTGCCAATGTCTCTTTTTCTCGAATTGTCTACGAGCAAAATGGTGGCTTACTGTAATGCTTTTGATCTACTAATTCTTCTAAAATTTATTATGCGTTTTTGCTGTGCAGCCCTACAGCGGAAGGCTGAAACTTGGCGTATATGTTCCTATTTAAGGATAAGCAAAAATGCAATTAGAAGAAGTAAGAAGAAGTAATAATGTAAATGAAAAGATTGAAAAAGTGAAAATATAAATAGAAATAATAA